GTTGACATTATTTTTTATCAGTGTTGTGAGATTTATTTGACTCCTGTATAATTTATGGCTGAGAGCCTTACTGTTAAATATTATTTTACTCATTGCAGGTTTTCAGTCCTTTTGACTGAGTAGCTGCTGTATTTTGCATGTTTTATGTTTAAAGTAGGTGAATTTATTATTACTGGATCATTTTTCCATTTTGCCAAATGACATATTAGCATTTATACCTAAAGTGAAAAATGAACGGCCAATCCAGGAAGATCAGCAATGATCGGCCCTCATGTGATCGGAATCGGCTGCAAAAAACCTGATTGGAGCGTCAGGTTATAATTACTGATAATTGATTAAGCTCAGGCATTAGTTTGTCACTTTATTCTTTCCCCCCCCAGCCACTTTTAATTTGAAGGTGCAAACTCTGCCCCCTTTTGTCTCGTCAATGCAGAACAAAGAGGGGCCCGGTTCTGACCCGGTTCTGAGCCTGAGGAACAGCAGCAGCTCTTCATGTGTATCTGCTTCACGTTTCCTTCATGCTTAATAAAAATGTTCAAAACTGATTTAGACAAACAATCAGTGTCTAAACTTTTACAGTCAAGATAAAGAAATTTCTGCTGATCTCCATTTAGAATTATTGGTAGTCTGCACCAATAATAAAAAAAAAAGAAATTGTACTAACCACATAAGAAGGAAAAAAAATATTCAAGATATTTCATGGTTGTATTATATATATATAGAAAATAATATATAATAATAATAATAATAATAATAATGATAATAACTATAAGAGTAATAATAATAGTAACAATAACAACTGTAATAATAACAGTAATACGGGGATATTACGCTGACTGCTCTCTTCATATCAATGGGCTTTGACTGGTTCTGATAACTGGACCTGCTGCTTGTTTTCCTGCAGGATTCGTTCTGGCTGCTGCTCTCCAACATCCTTCAGAGGTCAGGGGTCATTTCCTCTGAGACCATTTGCCAGCCAACGGGAGGTCAGTCTGCTCTTCATCCTTATTGCAAGATCAGAATCGGGTCAGAACCAGGTCAGAACCGAGTCGGGTCTCAGATGTAACTGGAAGTCCGTTTGGACCGGTGTTCTGACTATCAGTGCTACCCTTAAATCCGTCCTACTTTGTAGTAATGCGCATGCGCACATCGATGACGGCAGATTTCTTATGAATACGGCCGACCTGTGGAAGTTTCGTTTCATGTGTTTTATTTCATCGCAGATTATGGTAAGCTTTATTTATTTTATTCCTGGCTTTCATTAAGCTGCTGTATTACTTAATGGTTTTAGTTTACATGACAGGCAGCTTGTAAATATATTTATAAATGGCTTTAGTTTGCCGTCTGGAATGTCGTTACTGTAAACAATTATTTGGCGGTTAATCAGGACAAAATATGTTGTTTTGTGGAGTTTTTGTCGCTATACTTTAAAATATTTTAGTATAATAACACTCTCTATTACTAAACCTTGCTAAATAGATGTTGGTAGGATACTATGAGAGGTGTAATATTAGTGTACATGAATCATATCCCATCATTTCAGTGACCTGCGCAGTTCGGTGGACACATTGCGGCTGCGCTGCATTTAATAAAGTCTGACATACAGCGTATTAATGCGTAAAAAAGAGTTGCGGTGATTTGTATTTGTCTTTAATTCCAATAAAAACCTGTTTCCCCTGCCTGATACTGTTTTATTCTTACAAACGCCTCTGTATTTAAAATGCGTAGCACGGACAGATAGACTTGTAGGAAAATCTGACGAGGTAGCACTTATAGTCAGAACACCGGCCCTGACCCGGTTCTGTTTCCCTCCAGGGAGCAGGGAGCTGGTGGCAGCGGGCCTTTGGCAGAGCGGTTACCATGGCGACTGGACACTGGGTGGGTCCGGTTCTGACCCGCTGCTGGCACTGAGCTGGCTGCTGGCCCAGGGGGTTCTGGAGAAGCTGCTGGCGGGTCAGGTTGCCAAGCTGGACCGCACACTGCTAGCCACCGGCCCGGCAACAACCAGAACCAGAGCTTTAGAACCCGCCGGGCTGGACAGTGTCTTGCTGAGGACACTGCAGTGGCTGATGGGACGTCTGAGACACCAGGGACGGACGCTGTTGTCCACCGTGGGAGGACGGACGCGAGCTCTGCATGACGTAAGGCTGAGGAGACACATGTCCCTCTCTGTGTCCTCTGGGGGACACTGTCCCCCTGTGTAGTAGTTTGATGACATCATTTAAGCCCCGCCCACTAAGAGGACACAGTGAAAGTTATTGGATGACTGCTTCAGGCTGTGCTGTGTCCATTAGCCCCTACTAGCCACACGATGTGTTCAAACAAAAATCATTCGTCACCGAACAGGAAGTAACAAAAGTTCGGCCAAAAGTTTAAGGTGTTGCAACCAGAACTGGACTGACAGCCATTTTGAAGATTCACCCAATGTGCCACCTAGTGGACAGGTGTGTGAATGGCATGAGAACCGGTGGGGAGCCAGACCATTTCTGCTGCAGCGGACCTACAGAGCAGAACCTGACCAGAACCTGGAGGTTCTGCTATGTAGGTCTGTGTTTCTGGACTAAAATCCTGGTTATGGATCTGATGTTCTGAAGAACTACATGTTGGACTTTCATAAGCTGGACCAGAACCGCCAGCAGAAACAGGACCGGATGGGTCCATGTGGGAGGAACCAGGCTCTCCTTCATGGAAAATGCTAAAGGGCTCGCACTAGCAAAGTGCATAATTCCCACTCTGGAGAGTAGGCACAGTGGGAATATCTATCTTCCACTGTAGTGGCCTGTTTTGCGACTGAGCAAGTTGGGTTCCCGGTTCGGTACCTGCGGACATGGACCGGCGCCCCCTGTTGGGCCGTCTGACCAACACCAGCAGACAAGGCGGGTGGAGCAGGGAACTGCTGCCGCCATGATGGAGAGGCAGCTGAACATTAGTCAGAAAATCAGTAAGTAGTTTTGAACAACAGGTGAACTCTAACTTCACTATTTCTTCCTCAGGTACTTTCCACCAGCCAGCTTTGCTCTGCGGCTCCCCCTGCTGGCCAAAGCTTTGCAGCGCTGACAGAGGTTTGTGTAAAGCATCTAAAGCAGGGGTGCTCAAGTCCAGTCCTCAAGAGCCACTCTGTCCCACAACTTTAGATGCATCCTTACTCCAGGAGCCCAGGGTCAGCTCTGAACAGGCCTGGTAACAAGTCACTCATTGGATTCAGGTTGTTGGAGCAGAGAAGCATCTGAAAGTTGCAGGATGGGAACTCTCCTGGACTGGACTTGAGCTCCCCTGATCTAAAGTGTAATTTCAGCCTGGTGATAAACTAAAAGAAGGAAATAATGTTCCTGTGTCAAAGCTGTGTGTTCGGACCTGCTTCTGGTTCTGCTGCTTGGGAACTATAAAAGTCCCTCTGGTTCTGTCCCAGAGTCTCCCCCATGATTTGGGTCAAGATCCAGGAGTAGAGACTGAAACTGGACTGGTACCAGTTCTGTGGGGGTGAGAACCCTAACCACGCCATGATGGCGTGGTTAGGGTTCCTTCCCTAGGAGGCACCTGGTTTCCTCCTAGTGGTCGGAACGCCGCCTAGCGGTTCTGGCTGGAACAGTTAGAACCGGGTTAGGAGCCAGAACGCTGCTGCTGGCTTCCTGGTCGCCTCATCAGAACCGTTGGTACCTGAACTGATGTGGGTGGGATGGTTGGTGTCTGTGGTGATTGTTGCGCCTTCTGTCTTGTTGGCCTCTGGTTCCTCCTGAGTCCGAGCCAGTTCTGGTTCCGGGTGAGAAGCAGACAGGAAGTTGGACTCCAGTCTCCTCCTCCTTCCTGTTGCAGGACAGCGTGTGCATCCAGCAGCTCTGTGACGTCCTGGAGGCGTACCTGAGTTGGAGACGGGTCGAGGACGTCTTCTGGACCTGGATGGTGGGTTGGTTCCACTCGGTACCAGAACCTGGGTTCTGCTGCTCAACTCATCAGGCCTGTGTCTCTGTAGGACAGCGTGGTAGACCGCCGTCACACTGGTCCCCACGCCACCATGTCCTCCAGGGAACTGGGGATGTGTCACCATGGCAACCAGGGGCTGGCCCAGCTGGAGCAGTTGCTGATGAGGTTGCCCATCGCGCAGGTACACAGCGTTAAAGTGTCGACACCCAGTTTTCATCCCCTGCAGTTTCTGCTGTAAAAATCTGGTAATCACCTCGTTATAAACCAGCACAACCAGATCCTCCCAGAAAAGACTGGGAAGCACTAGAACCTTCCAGACAGCAGGAAGCAGGCAGGAAGCAGCTGACCCTCAGAAGATCCAAGTCCGCAGCTCAACACTGATAGGACATTGGCAGATATGGACAATATGTCCTAGTCTGTCCTGCTACTCTTTACTGCCTGTTGCTTTAAATGCTGCCATTAAGGGGCTGAACTCTGCAGCCTGGGTCAAGGGTCAAGACTGGGCTCACCTTAAACCTGCAGAAAGGGTTTATGTTAATAAGTTTCTCAGCGTAATAATAGATGACACAATCAGTTGGAAATCTCATACTAAACATTTACAGAATAAATTAAGTAGAAGCATATCAGTCCTGGTTAAAGCCAGACATATTCTGAATAATCACTTCATATTCTGTTTAGTGCTCTGATTTTGCCATATTTAATATTGTTCAGAGGTTTACATCCACTGAATTTTCTACAGAAACATTAGAACCAATAATGTTGGTTATTATGAGAACACAAACGTGTTATTCTTAAAATCTATAATTGTTAAATTTGAAGACCTGATGGAATTTAAAATTGCTGAAATTATGTTTAAGGCATCTAATAAACTGCTACCTGAGCTCATACAGAGCAGCTTTATGAAAGAAGGAGAAAACTGGAATTCAAACTTAAGGATTTGTAGTTTATGAACAAGAAGAGCTTTTGTATTTCAATTCATGGGGTGAAGTTATGGAACAAGTTAAATGAGGAGTCAACATTTAACAACATATAGAAATATGGTGAGAGATAGCACTAATGTGCATATGAGTGTGTTTACTTGGACATGTAAACCCAGATAAAATGGAAAATTAATTAACTTGTTTATTTGTACTTTTGATTGGATTTATTAATGAAGATCCATCTGAAAACATTGTGAAAGTTTCTTCCGTCTTTTTTGAGCATGTTAAGATTACAGTGGTACAAAAACTGTCTTCAGCTTTCCTTGTTCTTGATTCTATACAACAATCATGTTTGAAATAAATGAATGAATTAATGAAATCAGAAGGATTTACCTTATTTTCTCCTAATAATCAAAATGTGAAAAAGCAGCCAGAGCCCCCCGTGGTGGCTGCAGGGGGAACTGACCGGGTGCTTAAAGGGTCGCTCATGCTGCTGAGGTTAAAGGTCATCCTCAGTCATGTTAGAGACTCTTATCAGGATGTGAATACTTTATTCTTTTATTAACTGAAATCATGGAGAACAACTTTTCCTCCTCTCCAGGAAACCGAGAGTCTCCGGGGTCATAGGTCAGAGGACGATCCGGCCTGCAGATCTCCTGTCCTCTCTGTTCCCTCCTTCCATCAGGTGTGGCGTCCCCGGCTGCAGGTTGGGGCCCAAGGACCGCCTGATTGGCTCGCTGCAGCCCCCCCGGCGTTAGAGCGCCTCCTGCAGGCGGAGCGGCTGCTGCTGCGGCACAGAGTAGCGCGGCGTCTGGCCAACAGGAAGCGGCTGCGGCTGCTGATGCAGCGGCTGCGGCGGCGGATCTTCGTCCCGCTGTAGGGAAGGAGCTATTGGTGATGATGGAGAGCGGAGCAGCGTTCGGATCAGAACCGAACTGCTGGTTGGAAACCTCAATTTATCGATACGGCATTTGGTCTTCTGTTGCTGTGGCGATCACCATGAGAACTGAACTGCATCTATTTTGAAGTGATTCTGTCAAACCCAGAAAACAGGATTTTACTCCAGAAACATTCGGTACTGTTCGGGTTCTGGACCCCAGCATGACTGTGGAAATCTGAGTGGAAGGAAAAAGTTTGGTAGATGAAGGTTCTGTTCTGTAGGACTGTTGTGGGTCGGAGGTTCTGAATGTTGTGAACAGAAATAAATATTGAAATATTTAATCTGGGTAAGAATGTATATTAGAATATCTGAATGTTTTACTTTCATGTCTGAAAAATGGAGGTTTTATTTCCTGATGGAATCAGAACCAGAACCTGTGGAATGTCCTGATGTGGTCAGAATGTCTGCGCTCCAAACCTACCTTCATTTACCGTGTTTTCCGCACTATAAGGCGCACCGGATTATAAGGGACACCTTCAATGAATGGCCTATTTTAAAACGTTTTTCATATATGAGGCGCATAGAATAGATGCTACAGTAGAGGCTGGAGTTACGTTATGCATCCACTAGATGGAGCTGCACTAAAGGGAATGTCAACAAAACAGTCCGACTCCGGTCGGCGAGGAGAGCCTTCTGACTGGACCGGGGTGTGGCCGGACGATGGCCACCCTTCTCGGTTCGCGCACAGCATGTTGGTGGAGAACGTGGTGCTAAATGACCTGCAGACGACCTGATTCTAGACGGTCGGTAGGTAGATAGGTCAGTCAAACTTTATTAACAAACCAGCATTCTGACAACTATCCCAACATGCACCGCGCGCTTCTTCTTCTACGGGCGAAAATGAAGTTGGCGGCTGCTTACCGTAGATGCTAGACCTGTTGTAGCTCAATATTGGTCCATACATAAGACGCACTGTCGGCTCTTGGGGAAATTGAAGGTTTTTAGGTGCGCCTTACAGTGCGAAAAATACGGTAACTCAACCTAACCAACTTCTGGAAAAGTTTGAGATGTTAAATAGAAAATTAGCAAAAAGACTAAATGTGTCAATACTAGAAGCCGACCACCAGGGGTCAGACTAAAGCTACGAAATTTTCACAGCAGAAATATGGAGAATAGAAGAACATAATGCCAGAAATCTTTCTTCATCCAGGAGGCTGCGACCAGAACTTCAGACGGTCTGGCTCTGGATCCACAGAGAACCGTGGTTCTGGTGCTGTAGCTTTGGATCCGTCCAGGTAAGAAGAACTTCTACGGCTGTACAGCAGAAATAAAGCGTTAGTGTGGTTATGACGAGCCGCAGACCAGCTTTCATCAGAACACTTGCAGTCTTTATTGACGTCATCTCCTCCTCCACACCAAGGAGCATCGTCTACAACACGCAACAAACGGCCTCAGGTGACATCAGGAGTTCACCACCAGCAGCTTCTGCATGTAGGAGTTGAGCCACTTCTGTCTCTCCATGGAGGTCAGGAGTTTGCTCTTCTCCCTGAAGGCGGCGTCGTCCGCCACCACCATGTTCCTCTTCACCATCCGGGTCCCTTCTGACGCCCACTGCGCTGGCCAGACGCTGGAGACGAAATGGACAATTAGGGACATTCTGGACGTTTTGTCCTGTCCAGCAGTGTGAGCCAAAACAGATTTACTTTCATAAGTGGAGCATTACTGCTACGACGCTCCACCTGATGTCACCTGTAGAGGAACTATTTCTTTGTAAACATGGCGCATAAGATGGCAACCAGGCTGCAGAAAAAAAGCCAGTTGCCATGGTTACCTGCCCTGTCTTGCTGTTTTAACATTAGCTATCATGTTGCTGTGATAAAATAAGCTACGCTACCAAATTGACATCAGTGAATGAGACATAATGCCCCAAAGTTCAGTGGCCGGATATTACACACTATTTTAAAGTAAGTCTGTTCCGGTGAGATCCGCTCGCTGAGTCCCTCTGAAAATGAGACTTGGCTTTTCCATGGTGAGGAGGGAGCGGGTGTAAAACTAACAGCGTTTTTCCGTTCTCGTTTTCCAAGGCAGGTGGTTAAACAAAGAATCAAATTAAAAGTGCAGCTGAAGCACTACAAATAAAACCTCACAATCAGGCTGCCTGCCAGACGGAGGTGATTTAAGCAGAATAATATTTTCTGTCTTTCTGCAGTAAGTCGACCAGACCAGACATTCAGGTTCTGCTGGGTTCTGCTAACGGCTGCGGGTCAGTTGGTCCCAGTTTCAAACCAGACTTCAGACTTTCACCTGGTTCTGCCAACTTCTTACAGATAAACAGGAAATGATAATTTCTAAAAACAAATCAGTCATTTCTGTTCTGGCTCTGGTTCTGGTCCAGAGTACACAACCAGCATGGGTCCATTTTCCGTCTGCTGGCTTGGTCCGGCAGACGGTTCTGTTTGGACCCAACCCAGACTGGTAGAAACTGGTAAGCGCTTCCTTAACACCAGGGGGCAGCACAGAAACAACCAAGATCTGCAAGAAACTGGGGGAAAAAATCCAATAAAACAGAATTTTTAATTCTTTAAATGCAAAACTTTGAAACTCGACAAACTGAGATTTAGGTGAAAAATAATGTTGGATCAACAGAAACCGGCTCGGTTTTACTCATTCATCTGCATCTGGGTTCAGTTGTCCTGTCAACATTAAGCGCCTCTTCTGAGGATGATTAATGGCCTGATTCTCATGCTGGCGCCCCCTGCTGCTCCATCTACAGTATTTATTGAATCGAACTAGAAAAAGTCGTTGGGTCAATTTTCCTCATTTCATCTTCTGGAAGTTTGACGGCAGGGAAGCGACCAGAAGCAGCTGATTGGGTCGGTATATAGAAAAGCTTCATCTAGAAGTTTTAAACAGTTTGGTTTAGAATGTGGCTTCGCTACCTGGCCTCCGGACGCTCCGGTGCGAACAGCCAGGCGTCCCCCACCAGACCGGCCTTGCTGTCCGCCGCCCTGAGGCCCGGCGCCGACAGCATCTGGATGTTCCAGTCATGGAGGGAAATGGACGGGAACAGGACATCCCAGTCGTCCCGCTTCGCTTCCTGCGGACCTTCAGGATTTCTGGAATTACAGAGATTCAACCCTAGAGTGTCAAAACGGGATAAACGAGTTTTTAAAAGATTCAACCTGAGGTTGAGCTCACCTGAGAGGAAGACGAGGTTGAGGAAAAGCTGAGGAAGAAAGGACCAGAAGCCAGATGAGCAGGAAGGACAAACGAGAGACGGGAAAAAGCTCTGACATCCTGGAACACAAGAAAACCTCCTGAGACATCTGAGCTAATCTGGCCAGAACATATTAGATTCTTTCCAGTATTCCTAGTGGATCCAGTTGGTCCAGTTCTTTATCCGTAAGACAACTTCTGGTTGTGACCCGGTTCTGTGACCCGGGTCGGTGGATATGATTTCCAGGTTCATCAAACGTTTTTCTTTTATTTCAGCTTGATGATCTGAGGAACAGCGTCCCTTCACTCTCACCGCGTCCGTTTCCAAGGTGATTTAGTTTCAAGAATTTTACAGAAAAATGAAGAAAAAATAAATTAAATTAAACTAAAATTTGATTTTTGTTGCAGATTTCTGATCAGAACATCCAATTACCAGAACCTTAAGGGACCAGAACCCAGGTTAGAAATCCAGAACCAGAACTTGGTGCTTTCAGAAAATCAAACTAACCAAATTAAAATCAGAACCGGGAGGTTCTGGTTCAGGTTCTGATCCAGAGGAAACAATGCTTACCTGCTGCTCAGAATCAAAACCGCAGAGTTTCCACCGATAGACCAGCAGCAGAACAACCCGGACCGGACCGGACCGCAGATCCTGCAGTGTCTTGCTTATATGGCTGCTGATCCTGGGGGGGTCACCAGTCTACCATTGGGAGGGGGAGGGGGGGGCAGCTCCCTCCACAGAGCGACAGCCTGACGACCTCTGGAGCTCGTTAGTCGACTTCATTCAGAGAGTGGAGTTGCTGCTGGAGGAGGGGGCCGGGTCTTGTTACCCCTACTTGCCTCCACCCTCCACCCCCCTTTCCCGCCCTGCTGGGTAATGAACATCATTACTCAGCTGCAGAGCAAACATGTTTCATCTCTCAGCAAATACAGAGGAACAAAACTCTAGTCTGGATAGACGGATGTCTTCAAACTGGTAACCAGTAAGGGTGAGGGAAATCTGGAGTCTGGCTTCAGATAAGCATCCGACATGGAGAGTCTGCAACGAGTAACGCTGACTTGGTATGACCAGAACCAAACAGAACCCAACATTCTCTCTGGATCGGGTTGGTTGTTTTTAATGCTAAACTCTCCTCCAGTTTTTGGACGTGTTGAAAATGTTTTTGTTGCCTTAATGCTAACGCCACAGCAATAAGCCAACGTTCCTCACCTCAGCATGCTCAACGCTGAAGACAAAAAGTCAGACTGACAGCATGAGCTTTTCTCCTCCACCATGACCTCCGTCCTCAACAGTTGGTCAAACATAGAAAGAATAAAAATAAAAACAACATAATGATGAAAGTAACGTCCCAGGCTGCAGCCCAGCAGAACACTGGGAAATTCACTATCCCAATACAACGGAACCATTGAGGACTGGATGACCTGCTGAATCCTGTTCAGTTCTTCACATTTTCACCATAAGTCAATAAAAAAAAAAAAAATATATATATATATATATAGGGCCCCGATGACCACAGACACCACTGTGGAAAAGACCTGGAAGGTGAAGACCACAGTGGTGCCTGTGGTCATCGGGGCCCTCGGGGCAGTCACCCCCAAACTGGAGCAGTGGCTCAAACAGATCCCAGGAACAACATCAGACATCTCAGTCCAGAAATGTGCAGTTCTAGGCACAGCCAAGATACTGGAGGAGAACCTGAAGCTCCCAGGCCTCTGGTAGAGGACCCGAGCTCAGAGGATATGAGAGAGTGAGTGAGAGAGAGAGAGAGAGAGAGAGAGAGCTATAAAAAAGGCTTTGGGTCAGGCTGTGTACTGAATATTTAGAGCAGCCTGAACATTGTGTTGTGTCCGGCAGCCATGCGAGTAATTGGAAACAACTAAAGGTTGGAATCGGGCCTGGGGCCATCAAACCTCCAGAAATAAAACCTGAAAGTGTCTAAGAACTTTGTTTTGAACCTGGTTGGATTTAATGACCTGCAAACAGGAAGCAGGAGCTTTAACAAAGACACGGTGGGTTTATTTTTCACAGGATAACAAGCTTCAGGCCTGACTCACTCCACATTATGCATGCTGCCTTCATTTCCATTGCTGGAGCGCTGCTCCTTATTTCACTGAAGATGAAACGTCTAACAGGACGACTTGTTTCCTCTGAGGGTGGCACTGACCTCTGGAGGCCGACTCCAGAACTGCGCCAAACGGGCAGATGGATTCTGGTCCCTAGAAAAGACATGTTGCCTTTTCATGAAAGTTCAAATAGCTGTCGGATTTTTGACTCTGCAGGCAGAGTGAATAATTTTGTCAAACATTTATCTGATGCAGGGAGGAATTATCTACATTTTGTACAATTCTTCCCTAGACTATCGGATGACTACGTGTTTGTCCAGAGAGGAGGCTGTCCACAGGAAGGACGGCGACTCTCTCTGATGCTTTGTTAAAACAAAATGAAGGACATACACCTGTACCTGTGTGGTGCTGTATCAAATCCAGAGGACTCCAAAACTTCACTCTACATTCAATCCTTCCCCGTCTGATGGAGGTAGCCTAACAGAATGCTAAGGCTAGTTAGCATGGCCACTGATGCTGCTTTTCCAGGAACCGTGTTATTTTTCTGCCGTTAGCACAGTGAGCAGCAGGTACACAAGGGTGTTTGTTGGACATAGACGGTCTCTGACCCAGACTGGTTCTGGAGGTTCTCTGTCTGACTTCTACATCACCCAGATCTATATCAGCTAGTTCTACATAACCCTGAGCTAAGGTATGACTATCTGACAGAACACCGTGTTGCTGAAATAAACCTGATCAATCGATCGATCGGCACCATCAGCGCCGATGAGCAGATATCGGGACCCAGGTTTGGACCCGGCTGGACCCATTTGGTTCTGACTGCACGACATTTTGGTTCTGATTGGTCTCCACCAGAACAACGCTTCAGCAACGGCCCATAAACCGGTGTCAATACCCGACCAGAACTTTGGTCCAGTCATCATATCTCCAGTTCTGACCCGTTTGCTGCTCAGACTCGGAGACACGTGTTCTGAATTAGAACCCAACGTGAGTCGGAACCAGAAACAGACCTGACATCTGGAAATCCTTTCACCTTTGACCCCACCCGCTCCACAAGAAGTGGCTCATGACGCGTGGAGGGCCCTGGGCCCCCAGGACTACACCAGGTCTGGATCAGAACTTTTCCCACTCGTGGTTCTGGACCCGGTTCTGACCTGTAATGCAGCAGAACGAACAAAAACCTGAAAAAAAAAACTTTCTTAAAAGAAATTTATGGAATCAGAAAACAAAACCAAAATTTACAACCTAAACAGTTTTAATTTCTAAACATTTATTAACAGAAAACTGCAGATTTATTTAAACATAAATTATTTCTAAATATTTGGAAAACAAAAAGGAAAACAGGAAGAAGAAAATTTAAATGATTTTCAGATCATTAAAATAAAAAGTTCTGCTGAGCTGATCTCACTGTGGTTCTGATACCACCACCACCATCATCATCATCATCATCAGAAGAAGAAGAAGAAGAAGACCACCCTGTCATTTCAGCTATGACGTCAAAACAAACAAACCCACGTGATCTCTTGGGTCGGGCTGGCGCAGAGTGGGTTGTGTCCTGCGTGGGGCGGTTCTGGTTTTAAACACACTGAGCTGAACCCCGCGGACGAACTCAGTTTAAACACCCGAACCGGTTCTGAAGGGTCTGCTGCTGAAATGAGAAAGTTCGGAACCAGAGGGACTTTCGGTACCGCAGGATAATGGGCATCACGTTCACGTGTGGAGCCTTTTCCACGATGGGGCGGACACCTCTATCCTAGGCTGAAGGACCGGGCCCGGGTTCGGAGCAGAACTTTGGGAAGTATGAACCCGAGAGACGCGCTGCGTGTGTGTCTGCTGATCCTGGCTGCAGAGTCCGGCTGTGGGCTTCCCACGGACCGGAACACGGAGTCCAGTCCTCAGGTAAACCCGCTGCAAGTCCACAGGTCTCCTTTGGACCTTCAGCTCAGCAGAACCTTCTGGTCATTCAGATCCAGAATGATCGCTGGGGTCCAAATGCCCGAACCTTTCCACCCAAAAGTCCAGATTTCCGCTGATCTTCGGTTCTGAATGCAAAGCAGAGCCTAAATATGACAAGACTTCTAAAATACGAGACTTTAACTTTTCTTTTAATGACATGTTAGCAGCTGATCCTTCAAAGTAAAAGTTAAATAATAAACTCCTAAATAAAACTCAGTGGGTTCGTCTGGTTCTGAATGGCTCCGAATCTTTTCAGTAGGAATCAGTGGTTTGGAGGAGAAGCACACGTATTGAGACCTTAGTCCTCATGCCGATGGTCGCAGGTTCGATTCCCGGCCTGGCTACTTTTGCTGCATATCTTCTCCCTCTATCCTGTCAAATTACTTTCAAATAAAGGCCACAAGAGCCAACAAAACCTAAAAGAAAAAAAAAAGAAGGGAGTCGCTGCCACTGGGTCAGAGGGGTCCAGTCAACTGAACACTGGGCTCTGCCCAGCATTTAACACCATTCCGCTAGTTACAAATGTTAAGAATACACGTTTAAAAATGTATTAAAAATTCATCACTTGAGGTTGGAATCCTGTTCCCTCCTAATATTAGACCATAATATGTCCATCATTGCTTTGGCGCCCCCTGCAGAGCGGCGCCCCGAGGCATCGCACATCCTGCAGACCCACTTTCTGGAGGTGGAGGACACCAATAACTAGTATTTACCAGTTGGTGAATAGAAACAACCAGTAGAAATAATTTTAATTGCCAAAATTTGCCAAAGCACAGCAACATGGTAGAATATGAATGTATGGATTATATCTGTAAATGTTTGGTTCACCTGGAGTCAATAAAACTATCAGAACGGATCGATGCATGAAATCAAACATTTTTCATCGTTTCTCATGTTTTTCCACACATTCTTTGAATCAGCTTCTAAATTCTCTAGATTTTGTTCTAATCTTCTAAGAAAGTCCCTAGAACAGCTGATCTGGGCCAGGCATGAGACACTCCCATCATCCACCTCAGGGTGGAGGTGTCCTCCCTTGGTGCTGACTGTGGAAACACTTTATTGTCCAAGAATGCTGCTTCAGGTCAAAGGTCACCCGTCCAGGATGTCCAGGTTGCCGGTTCAATCCCCACTCTGTCTACCGTTGCATCATTGAGCAAGATACTTGACCCTCCTTACCTGCTGGTGGTGGTTCAACAGGGGGCGCCACTGCATGGCCCTCTGGCCTCTGTCAGGCTGCTCTAGGGTAGCTGTGGCTACTATCCAGTAGCTCACCACCATCAGTGATGAGTACAGGACAGCTGAGGAGGTTTTCCGAAGCTGGACCCACAAAGTCTGAATGACATATCTGCTCTTCAACACAGAAACCAATTTTATTTTGGTGGTCTTCTCAGGGGGCCGAGGATGGAACCCTGGGGAACACCCCCACTAACTGCTAGCTCAGGTTGAAATCCTTGTTAATTTCATGGTTTCCTTCCAGTTTTAGACATTTAACAGTTTTATCCTCTCCAATTCTTGGACGGCTCACAGGAAGATGCTCTATGTTCGCTAAAATGACGAGCCTCTGGTTCTGATCTGGAACTTGGCCCCAAACCGTTTTGACCCAGTTGCGTCGTTTCATGCGAGAAGTGAAATGCAGAGTTTGGCTCAGAAACTCGAAGCCTCCAGCTGACGCTTAGAGGAAATGAACCCCCTCCCCCAACATGCCTGGAGCTGCTTGACTTTAACTGTTTAGCTAAAAATACAGAAACTCGACCCGGGAGACGGGCCGCCGGATCGCAGGACCAGAACCCTAACCGGAGCAGTTCAGGCTCTTGCAGCACATACTGGATCCAGAAAATGTTTCTGCTCTGTCAAAACTTTGATTGGGTCATTGCTGAATCCAGAACTTCAGTTCCTTCAGGACCGGCGGAGAAGGTTCCTCCAACAACTGCTGAACCCTCCATGTGTTCAGAAGATCCTTCGTTATTTCAGCCACTGCCGTCGGTCCAGCTGAACCTTTGTCTCTATTTTACAGATCAGAGCCGAGGAGCAACCAGATCATCCCAACCTGGAGCATCTTCAGCAGGAAAACCTGCTGCAGACGCTTCCTCTTCCACCTTCCTCCACTTCCACACAGCAGCAGGACCTGCGCTCATCACCTTCACCCGAGGGGGAGGAGCCTGGAGCCTTCGTCCTGGATCTCAGGAAATTCCCTGATCTGGTCAACGCTTATGTGGGCTCCCAGAATCCCAACATCCAGGTAGGAACATCTATTTGTTCTCTGCTTTGAAAAGGTTCTGGATTCTGAGCCGTAGAGACCCGGCGGCTCCAGACAGAGCTGGACCCGACGCCCGGCAGGAATAAACACCCAGCCTTTACTGGAGGTCAGAGGAACTGCAGGACTGACTGGTGTGTTTTATGTAGATCCTGACTCTGATCAGCTGGAGGTGACTCGGTGTTCTCTGACTCGATATCAGTGCATCTCTTCCTGCAGTGAACAACAAGCCTCTTTGATTCATGTGGAATCTGATCTTCATGTAAACTAACCTGCAGCCGCCTGCATGGCCCTCATCCACTCTGAGATTACACCAACATGTCCGCCAGAGGTATCTGTCCCATCCTGACCTCTTCTGTCTGTAAACTGTAAAGAAATCTGAAATGCAACAAAGGATCTGACTTCAGATCAGTTCTGGTTTTCTGGACGGTTGAAGCTGCTGAAAACATGGAGGCGGCGCCCGTCACAGAGTTCCTAGCGAAGACAGAAGTCTGTTGTTCTGTCTGGCCAGAAACAAGCCGAGCAGAAGGACGCAGATGACTTGAGGGGGTTTCAGCACCTCAGAGGTTTCACCGTGAAAAACACGGCGGTATGGTGCAGCCAGCATTCAGGGTGGAGACCAACAGAGATCCAAGGATGGAGCTTTAGTCTTCAGATGGACCTTAGGTGGAGCTACCTGGTGCAGCTAGCTGGGACGGTGCAGGTGGTGTTGGGGCTGCAGGTGGAAAGCTCTCTACCAGGCGCTGCAACTTAGAGTTCCACTGAGTGGAGAGATTGCTGAGTCACGCCATCTTCCTGTACCTGATAACACTCCCCATCACTGCCTGGGGAAATAAAAACAATGTTCTCACTGACACCAAACATCTTCAGTCTACAAAGAAAAACCATCTTTGCTGCAAGCAGGACGGAGCCTCCAGCTTCATCTGGTCCCTGTGGACGGACGGTGGCCTGTGACCCCACCGCCGGAGGGTCAAACATCATGGATTTTAAATGATAATAATTCATATCACACCACTCACCAAATGTATTTACCTCTACAGTGCAGTGAGACGTCTGAGTTCTACAGAGAAGAGCAGAGTCAGGTTTCCTGGAAGACTGTTGGCACAATCATTTGTGTAATAGTGAGCAGGATACGTTTCCTCCTCTAAAGTTTAGATATTTATCTTTTCTGGCTATCAAGGTTGATTCTGAATGGTTGCTTTGGAGTGACCTAATCAAAGTCCACACTTCAGTCTGGTTGAGATGCATAACTGTAACCTTCAGCAGCTGTTTGTCCCCAGAGGAACAGCTGGTTCTGTCCCAGTAGAGGAATTTGAATTAATGAAATCTGAAAACACCTTTTCCTATTTGTTCAGGTGACCTTTGACCTGAAACATTTAAAGGGTTTTCCCAACTGTTCATACAGCTTCTTGGTGAAACTGTTAGAATAAATGGAGCTGATTAGCATCTAGTACTGTTAGCACACCCAGGGTGCTTCTTCTTCCAGGTGACCATTGAGGTGATGGAGGCCGCCCAGACTGAGGTGGAGATGGACCTGGCCAAGGAGAACCAGCGCAACGACTGGTCCGTGTCGCCGTCTGAGTGGACGAGCAAGAAGCTGTTCTGGCCGTTATTCTGGGAGAGCAGGCTGGCAGGAACCGGGCCTGAGGACTACGGCTACGACCCGGCGGACGCTTTGCTGGGCTGGAGCGAAGAGGGGGAGACCAAATATAGCTTTGGTGAGACATTTCAGATGCTTCTCCCCTTGATCCACCTCAAGGATTCATCCTTGAAACACACAAATAAAGAAATGAAAATGAAGGCAGGCGGGGGGCAGCGAGTTGTCCCATGAAGCATGGAGCGGCCGGTCCTTCACCGGCAGATTAACTGCAGCTGGAGCAGAAAGCAGCTGGGATTATTCTGCAGAGATTCTCCTACAGGACAGATGGAGTAAAGACAGCAAATAACCCAGCAAGCAGAGAACCGTCCAACTCTCTGGTCTCGCTCTGCCGACTCTTTTCTCCTTAATTGTTCCCCAACTGAGGGAGGAATTTACGATGTGAACTTCAAAAGGCCGGCCTCTGCTTCAGCTTTTCACCGCCCATCCATCTGCTATGTGTTTTCAGAGAATGAAGAGTGGAGCGACTGGGCCCCATGCAGCACCACCTGCGGACCTGGATCTCAAAAACGGACGCGGTCTTGCGGCTACGGCTGCACAGCAACAGAATCACGCACATGTGACCTGGAGAGCTGTTCCAGTAAGATACAAACCAGTTTAGGGCGTTCTGATCCACGGGGGGTAAATCTGTCTCCACAGCCTCAGATCTTCTCCTGACTAGAGGCGATGCTTCAGCCTGAACCACGGTTACCATCAATCACGTTTCTGTCTGTCTTCGTCTCATAGGCGCTGTGGTCACAGAGACCGAGGCGACGTCGCTCCACCAGTTCAACAACACAGACTCCAGTACGTAGTTTTTTTGTTTCACCTTTCAACCTTACGGTCAATCCTTCCCTTCCAGCTCCTCTGCTCCAGTTTCACATTTATTGATGCAATACACCAGACATAGAAAATGATCCATTTTTTTCCGATGTCAGACATCAGGAGACAAAGGTCTGACTCATGAACCTCAGACTGGTTTAAAGCAGAGATCTGAGTCACAGCTTTTATACATGCCTCTTGTCCTCCACATTTGAATTAAACAAGTTCACATCTTTTCATTTATCTATGCTCAAACTATTACATCAAATGTAACGGCATTGCATTAGCAAACAAAGTTAACATTCTAGATTTATGGTGTCATGAGGTGTGGTGTTGGTGGTGAGAGAGAACGTTAAAGACCCAGATAGAGATGAAAAAATGATGGTTTTAAATGAAGAATCCACAAAAACAAAATCCAAACATACAGGCAGCACAGAGAACGGAAGGTAAAAGGTCCATGACTGAACAGACTGGCACAGAGAACAATGACAG